ATCCATCCATCCATCCATCCATCCATCCATCCATCCATTATAATTAACAAATTCATCTTAATTAAGAAAACATCAAATATAAATGTAGCTTTTTTAACTTAAGTTAGAACATGGATTCTGTTTTTATTTACTATCTCTATAAATTTTACCTTTGATGGTTCAAAGCATTTGAACAATTTTCCTTAAGAGAGCCACAGATAATAATGTTTTGCTGCCACTCTATCTGCTTTTTCCTATTTGTTTGCTTTCCCACTCAAAGTACTCCTGATTCGGCACTTCTGGTTTTGGCACTGTCTCTTTCATGGACGGAGCTGCACTGCTACCCTTAATGTTGTTTACCCATTTTGTTTTTCTTTCCATTAACTGCTATTAAAAAGCAGTCCAGGCCTACAGTAATGTTTCCATTTTCCCTGTATTCACTTACTCTTGTTTTCCATGCTAGTATACACTTCCAAACCTAGTTATTTTGAGTTTAGCTTTGTTTTTGTTTGCAATTTCCAGAGATTTTGTGAAAATAACTGTCTGTCTTAGGTTTCCCTTTACAGTACTTTTGAAAGTAATATTGGTGCTATGGATGCCATTTAAATAATTTGCCCTGCATTACATACTTCTCTTTGAATTTTCTTAATTTTTTAATTTTATGAATAAAATGTCACATCCCTTTTATCAACATGAAGAAAATATACCTCTGCAGGTAAGTCATGCAAACCTGTTAAACAGTTCATAAAGATTGAATCTTCAATATTTCTTTCATGCTTTTATTTCATTTACTATACATCTACTTCATGTTTATGTATACAGATGGCTGGCATGTTCTATACCTGAATAATCTTCGCTCAGCCTGAGGCAATACGAGCTCTAAAAGCCCCTTAGGCAGTAAACATTTCAGATGACCTCCAACTAAAGTTGAGCAACAAGATAAATAAAATAAAATGGAAAAACCACAGAAACATGTTTGTTTTCTGATATGCCATGTTTTGGTCTCTGGAAACAGCTCCTCTTACATTAATCAAATACATCAACTTAAGATCAGAACATAAGATGCCTACTCATAAAACAATGCTCCTACAAGCACAATAAAAAAGAACTAAAATATTTTTAGTTATTCAAAAAAGCAACATGTTTCAAAGTCATTAGAATAAAACATTAGGTGGCTGCTGAAGAGCTGCTCATTATTTCATTATCTCGTAATCATTATTCTGATCTCTCAACCTTCATGAGGATCTTAATAAAAAATACCAAATATTTAAAAAATACTTTAGCTCAATTGATATAAACTGCATAATACTGTATTTTGAGATAAATCATGTATCTGAATCAATTTGAAGAAATTCTCTTCTTACACTGTGTTACAAATGTTTATTACACGTTTATGCAGCTCCTCTGGGTCCAGACTGGGCAGAACCATGTTTATGATTGTAGCTACAGTCGTATTTCTTTTTTGGTGCGTCTCTAACCAGCTTTGCACAACTAAAAATTGCCAAAAGTTTGTTGTAAAATAGCTCAAACCCAGTTAGATGTGTTAGGGTAATTATCACTGATGATGTGTGAGTTTATTACACCTTAATATTACCTGGCTGTTGCGTGTCAGAACTGATTTTTCCCCCAGTAGTTTATATAATTAGGACAGTTCCTCTGTCCGGATGTACAGTTATAATCTTCATTCTCTACGTAGCAAAGATTTGAGAATGGAATGAGAGCGGTGTCCTTCAGCTGAGAACAAAGTGTAATATTTTGATAAGGCTGAAGCCATTGATATCTACTCATCTATTTATGATTTTAATTTCTGTTTTGCAACAATAGCTAAAGACACAAACCCCAACAATTTCATTATTTTTTATGATAAAACATTTTGAAAAGAGCACATTAAAACATGCTTGTTTGATCTGTTTTACCTCCATTCTCCTTTTAGAAGTGGATCTTTCACATATTAAAACCATGTTGCACCTGCAATTTTAATATGCTTACATTTCTGCAGTCATTAGGGTCACAAATGACACTTCTACTGCTACAATAAGTTGGTTTAACACATCCACTCATTGTACACAAATAATTTTTGACCATCCAATTTATAGCTCCTTATTTGGATTGTTAGATGTGTTTGTTAATATACTATATATATATATATATATATATATATATATATATATATATATATATATATATATATATATATATATATATATATATATAAAAAACTGACCAGTCTTAAATGAGAATAAAGGTTCCTGGAAATCAAATGTTTATAAATCTTTGTGTTATATAAATACATTGATAGGATGGACAAAACAATCCCTGATGTTAAATAGATTACCAATTAATAAAATATAGATTTTTGTCCTCTTTTAATCTTGTGCATCTGATTAAATCTCTGCAACTGTAAAATATTTATCACCAAATAATTAATTAATCAATGCTCCTGATTTTCTCTCCTACATTTCCCAACTTCTAATTTGTACTATTCAGTACCCAATAATAAATTATTACACAAATCCCAGTTAATGACGGATAAAACATTATTCAATTCATTATTCCTTTGGATATATTTAAAAAAATATTCAGAGCTGGATATCGTGGACTTGTTTACTGATGTTTGACCACCAATTAGTTTTTTCTTGTTGCCTGGAAACTGCTTAAATTCCTAAGTTTTTCATGTTTTAGAGATGAAAGAACAAAATCAATCACATGCCAAGAAGAAAGATGATTTTTTTTCTAAAACCCCTGGCTGTTTTTTTATTCGTACTTGGAAACAAATCAGCTTTGAAAAAAAATAAATGAGTTTAGCTGCTGTTACTTTGTCTACGTCTGTTTATGACCTGGGGTTATCTATGACGCACTCAGCTCTGTAATAAAAAATATACTATTGGCTATTTAATCAAATATTATAACGAGGCAAATGAAGATCAGTTGAGATTTTATGGTATATTTTTTTGTTTTGTGTTTTTTGCTGATCTCAAACACCTGTTAGCTGTTAGGTTATTGACAGGTTACCATTTAAAGTTTCTTCTGTAATGGGTTTTATATAAAGTTTAGGGGGAAATTCGAACAGGAAGACTCATTTAAGCTTCATTTGCAATTAAGCACCTCATCATGCGCCAGCCAATCACCATCAAGTCCTCATTCCTCTTCAGCCAACCACCCTGCAAGGTTCTTTTTTAAGCTCTCAGTCACAGACTATTCTGGTCTTCAACTGAACTTCAACCCTCCTCCATATCATCTCCTTCTGGCTTCTTTCTCTTCTGCTCTCCAATCCACCACCAGTGTCCGGATCCAAAGGGGAAAATATATCTAATCCTAATCTCAAATGATTATCCAAACTCATCACTAGTCTAAGCTTCCGTGTCTTCTGCCGGTTTTAGAGTCCCAAAGAACTGTCAGACCCATCAATAAATCTCTCTAATTGCTTCTTTCTTCTGTGTGTGTGAGTCTCTCCAGGTTTAATTGTACTTTGGAAAAATTCTGTCTGCTGCATAACAATGCATCTGCAGAAAAATAAAGTTGGTTCCAAATGAAGCTGGATGAAGCACATCTCTTATTAATCACTATTTACACATGATTTATGTACACTTCATCCTTTATTGGTATATGTGCAGTTGCTGTTTACCCAGATTACTTCTATTTTTTGTTTTGCATTTTTGAGAAAAAAAAAACCCCGAACACTTAATAATTTTGTGCAGTACTATTCTAATAAAATAGAATTAAATTTTCCCAAGAATTCACGGAAAAGATTACAAAAAAAATGCACGCCTTATCTTTAACCAGTCTAATTTCATCAGGATTACAGATGTAGCCTAAATGTGACATCAGAGAAAACCTGTTCTTGTCCTCCATAATTACCCTACAGGTACTCTATGGCAAAAATCTAATAAATATGGCTAAGTTACGAGCACTAAATTCTGAAACAAGAATGTTTTATTTCATTGAAAAGCAAGGAGCACCAACTGGGATTGGCCATGCAAGAACGGAAGGTGGAGGCCTCAGTTGCCTCATTCTATTTTATTTTTTTATTTAACCTTTATTTTACCAGGAAGTCCCTTGAGATAAAATCTCTTTTTCGAGGGAGACCTGGAGACCCTATAAAGTGGCTACAACCTCATTGTGCCAACAAAAAACTGGCAGAGCGACCAGTGAGCTCTAATCCATGCAGCAACTATACACACAGCCCCATCCTCCAAAGAACGAGTTGTCATCCTCAGACCTTCAAATTTAAATTACAAAAGGGACTGTGGTTCTGGACAGATGTGCACACACCTCTAAAATTGTGCAATTAGTCTGTATAATATGAACCTCAGGAAAGCTTTGAAGTTTGCAGGTTGGGATTTCAGTCTGGGAAGTAATTGTGATGTCAAAGAAAAGCTTGTATCGCAATTGACGAGGAAGAGGGTAAGAAAAAAAATGCATGAGCCTCTGGAGTATTGGTGATGTATATTAAGTGGACAGGGATCAGTGTTTTGTCTGCATGATTCCTTCCAACTGTGCAAAGCACCCTTTATTTTGTAATATATTCTGTATGTGCACAGCTATGTACACATTTCCCTCGTATCTGCATCTTTTCTGCTTCCAGTAAGATGTGACAATACTACAGCATTATCTCAAACATGAAGCTGAAACTTGTGGTAATCGCTTAGAAATTAAGATTTAATAAGTTGTTTTGCACATTTTTAGGAATCATCTTTTAGATGATAGATAGATGTTATAATTGTTCCAATAAAAGAGGTGTTGAAGAGCTGGGGAGAACCTTATTTGGTCAAAGCGAGAACACAGCAAAGTTATACTTCACACTAAACTTAAATGAAAGATAGGTAGTGAGAGGGAGAAATTTAGCTGAATGTTACCTATTCATTTAAAATTTGACCCCTTTTAAAAATTTAAGGGGCATTCTCCTATTTCATTAGTTTTAACTGCAAATCATGCATTTCACTTATTCATCAACCCAATCACAGCAGCAAGAAAAAATGGTTATATAATAAATGTCTGATTTAAAGGCACACATTTTGTCCCTGGTTTGCATTTAGAAAGTTGTCTTTCTAAATCTAAAGATGGTTCATCTTGATTTTCGGTGAGTATTCCTTTATGTTTTAGATTGTCTCAAAGCAGTTTGCCATTTGTGAATATTTCAGTGCAATAAACCTTGATCTTGATTTACAAAGTTGTGTCCCCAGTGCAAGTCTGGGTGTTTATATGTTCATGCATTAAGGGTGTGTGTGTGTAGGGGGGTGGATGTGTTTGAGTCACCGTTGAGTGGTGTGCTCCCTCCACAGGGACGCCATTTTTGGTCCACTGAATGTGAGCTGCAGGCTTGGCCCCGCGGGTTACGCAGGTCAAGTTGAATGCAGTACCAGCCATCAGCAGCAGCTCCGGCGTTCCCTCCACCACCGGATCCTCAGGGGGGACTGCAGGACAGACACACAAATCCATACTCTTGACTCTAATGCAAGGGCACTCAGGTTTAAAGAACAGCCACATCTGAGCACACACTACAGTTTTTCCCCATAGGTCAAAGGAATTTAGCCTCTTATATTTTCTTTACAAAAAAAATTAACACTTACGTAGTGGAATTTTCTTTTTTTAACCAATCAAATGCAAAGTGCAGTGTCACCCTCTGCAAAGTCCAAAAGGTCTTTCATACATTTTCCCCAGGAGATTCTAACTTTCTGACTTCTAACCTTTCTTCTGATTTAATATCTCATTATATTCTAGGGGAACTTGGTATAAATACAACACAAGTTGTTGGCATTCCTATAAGAATAATAAGCTGTTTTATGCATTTTTATAATGGTTGGGCAGTTATCTACACTGAACATTCTACGACCCAAAGAATAATTGAAGAAGTAAGATAGGGTCCTAATAAGCTATATTGAAAAAAAAAGCGTACTTAAAAAAAAACCCAATTGCACTTTAATTTATGGTGTACTTGCAATTTTCTTTATAATTTCTCAGCAGACAACACAATATACTATGATGCAAATCCTTATTTTCAGAGTCCCGGTTTATTGTTGATGCTTTTAACTGAAGAATAGGCTCGTACTAATGTGTTAAAAAAGAAAAAAAACAACAACAAAAAACTGTTGTTAGGTTTTTAAGATAAAAAAAAAAAATATGAGAACTAATAGCCAAGGCTTCATTGTTCTAATTCATAATTGTTTCCTTTTAGATTTATTCTGTTGCTAATGATGCCAATGAAATGAGTCTGGTTTCAGAATTATTTTAACAACTGTAACTGGTTTGTTAGATCAGTGAGAAAGACATTCACATACACATTTATCATGCTTTTAATGACTAACTGGGCGTTGAAAAAGCCAATGGGGAAAGGTTACAGAGCAGGATGTCATCTTTTGCCAGCCTATAAGCTACTATGACTCATCGATTACACAATACAGCCCAGTGATTCATGACTTGACTTGGCGTCTTTCTAAGAGACTACAATTTTCACAAGAACATACTTCATGAGAGTGTTCCTTGCTCTCTTCTTTTTCCAATTTCATGTGGAGATTGTCTTCTGTCCAAAATTCACAGTGAGAATGATGGTTTTGCAAAGCTTTCACAACTAAAACTTATTAAACATTTCTATTTTGCACCATTTGCAGTGGCTGTCTTGCTTTGGAAACTCATCCACAATGCAGTTTTTTTGGCAGAGATGAGAATAGTTCTTGGTAATTTAGGAAAAGCTGCATCACTTTAAGCTAAGGAGGAGGAAGGCGACTGACTGAGGATGGATGGAATGCTGTTGTTTGGAGTCACAGACTAGGGAGCCGAGCAGTTAACCAGGCACAGCTGTGAACCGACCAGTAGGTAACAAATACCTCACTGCTTTTTCCTGTTAAGTCTTCTTTCCTTGAATAACAGTGTGGATGATTAACAGCTGCAGGAACACAGGCTGCGAATTATTCAAAGAGACGGCAACTGCAATAAGCTCTGACCTAATCTGGAATTTTTCTTTTTTTTTGTCCCCAGTATCCTTTTGTGTCTCTGTTAAAATGTCATTGTCTTTGAAGTTTTGAATCTCAACCAGCGGTGTTGAAGCTGCACTAATCAGAGCTTCCTATCCTACAAGTTGAGCTTCCTCTGTGTACCTGAGTGTACACAAAGACAGACAAGAAGCTTCTGCAGCTCCTCTTTCTATGCAGGCAAAAGTAGAAAAAAGTTTCTGTGCAGAATCCAGTTTCAACAAAATAAAAAGAAACTGTGATTGTTGAAAACTGAGAGCTCAGAATATATGTGTGGTTCTTTCTGCAAGTGCCGCTGACACAATGGCAGACAGTAGACCATCAGCAGGTTTCAGGAGGTGAGCTTTGTAACAGTCACTGTTACCTTACATCATATTGGAATATTCTTAATAGTGAACCAGCCCAGAGCTCAGCAATCTTTGCAAACTAATGAAGCTATTGAATACTTGAACCTATAACCCTGAAAGAAAGATGTTTCTGTACAGTCAAAATACTATTTTATCAGCGCAAACCACATCAACACATTTTTAAACACAGCTACAAATTAACAAATGCAATATGTTCAAAACCAGTGACACAGAAACACAACAACATATTCAAACGCACAAGGCTAGTAAATTAAAACAAATACAAATGCAGAAATGCAACATATTCAGAATCACAATGGCATGACCCAATTGGAAGAGGTAGATATTAGTGAGACCTTAATGACGACGGCACTATTTGACTTTTAAACCAGAAATCATTCTGCCTATACTTCCTCATTCAAGGTTTGAACAGAAAAGGCTGAATGACTTCCGGTTTGTTTTTAAATATGTTGTTGTGCTTCTGGAAATTTTGCGTTTTTTATTTGTATTAGTCTCAAGTTAATGTCATTATGTTTCTGAATATGTTGTATTGTTTTATTTAATTTGTTTCAAATTAATGTCATTGGGATCTTTGTTGCATTTTTAAAATGTGTTTTTCATATGTGCGTCGATGTAATCAACTGGTTTTCCTTAGATAGAAAACTTCAATTTGAATCCCTTCGACAATATGATCTGGTTGAATTGTAAAGTGCCTTGAGATGGCATGTGTTGTGAATTGGCGCCATAAAAATAAACTGAATTGAATTGTTTTTTTTTTAATATGTTCTGTTTTTTTTATTTGTAGGTTTGCTTAAAGATGAATTAGTATGTTTTGCACTTCAGGATCACCATACACAATTTTACATCTAAAACTCATAGATTACATCCTATAGGGGTAATCTTTAGATAATCTTTAGGTAAGGCTTTAGAAAAAATCCTTAAGAAAGGGTCAGTCAGGTCGTGAATCACTGGGATGTATAGTGTAAATATATTGGTCCAGCGTCTTTGAAAGGGGCGCTCAGGATTCAAGGGTTGATAATGATACAAACTCTTGCTTTGGAGAACCCTGATATTTTTGCTATCTCTCAGCAACAAACACCCCTCATGGAGGCCATTAAAAACAAAATGATATGCTGGAACCACAGCATGAGGAGTCCTCCTCTAGTTGGATGCATTTGCAGCTGGCAGCTAACATCCTTCGATCCGGATGAAAATACTGTGAGTCTTTTGCAGAATCTCCATCCTAACGATGCAGTTAATATGCAAACTAAGAATTTAATAGACTATTCTTCCACTTACTCCACTGTTGATTGATTGACTTAAAAAAACGTTTTAGAAAAATATGAATGAATTGAACTTTGGCCTTGCAGAATCATTTTACTTACTAAGTACATTGAGCTTGGCTCTTCTGGATCGCAGGGCGGCCTCTGTGGCCTGACACTCGTACAGCGAGTCATCTGAGAGTTGAGCGTGTGAGATCTCTAAATTGTACTGGCCGGTGTCCAGCGCCCGCAGTATACGATACCTGGGCCAGGCTGCAAGAAAAGCACAACACAAATGCAATCAAGGAACAGAATTATATATTGGAAAAAAAAAAAATTCTCCACCATGTGATTGTTTTTTTTTTTAAACCACATTTTTAGTTGTTCTTCACCTACAATTTGCTAAACAACACTGAAGTCAAAACATGAAATTTCCTCTGAATTAGTGGGAGGTGGAGAAAAAGCAAAAAATACAACAATTTTCAGCAATTTTCCTCAGTAATTACCTAAAGCAAGAATTATTTCTTCAGGTAAAAAAGAAAGCACTGGTGAATTAACAGGAGCTGCTGATTTGTTTTAAGTCAGAATGGCTGAACATAAATTTTATACCTTTATTTTTTGAAGAAAGAGTGCTGATTAAGATTTTTAAACATTATTAATGATCAAATCTTTTCTTCATTTTGCAAAAAAAATGTGTTTCCTGTTATAAGACAAATAAATATTCATTAACACTAACATGATGAGGAGACCAGTGTTTTGCCTCAATTATGTGATGCAGCGATTACAGGTTTGCTGATGACTTAGAGCTGAAACATAGAGATAGTGATAAATAAATGCAAAGTGGACGACTCAGACAAAATTGTGTTTACCCAAACAAGGTGGCTTTGGGTGAGCATCGGTTCTTTAGCTTCAGCTATGCCTGAAAATAGAACTAAATTAAAAAGTTAATCAAATGCCACTAACCGTACGTTTTCAGTTAACTTGATATCGATTTGAATTTTGAAAGCTAAACTTTACTGTCACATTTATCTAGAATTATATGTGCAGTGATAGTTTACAGAACTGTGGGTCATCTTTGTGGGTTTTGTTACAACTATTTAGTGAAAAAAAAGTAATAAGAATCTGTTTACCCCTAAACAAAATGTTTTCAGACTTGTCAGGATAAAAACATTATCTGTGCGTAATTATTATTTCTATATTCATGGTTGTGCAATGAGTCATGTCGTTAAATAAAGAGTTTAGTTACTGTTTACTCATTTGCATTTCTTTTTCTTTCTAGAAAGAAATGTTAAATGCTTTTAGGACCCTGGCAGGACTCCAGGGTGGGCATTTCCCCATATGCAGCACTTGTTATTGATATGGGACACCTGAGGACATGGTACACTGAATAACTTGTCTCTGCTTTCTTCCACACTGCCTCCTTTTCTTTTTAGATTATCACGACTGCACATTACAATAATTCCCCTCACCCATTCATAACATAAAGCACTGATTTCACTGACTTTCACAATACTTAAAAAGATTTGAAACTTTGTTGTTTCTGAAAATCATTATCGTTTTATCTCATGACGTCATCCTTTTTATTGTTGTATTGGAGACAGGATATGTCTAATGTATTAGTCATCTGTGGCTTTATTTCTCTTTTTATTTTCTTCAAAATAAGGACAGAAGAGTGATGCCTGCATTGTTTACAGCACGAAGCAAAAAGAGCAGAGCTCTTTTCTGAAATAGATTAATTTGGATTCAAAACCTCATTATATGAGTCAGAGGTAGCAAACAGAAAATGGGGCATTCACTTATGTGGAAATGTCAAAGCTTATCAACTATACAGGGAACATTGAGCGCAATCTTCAAATGTTTCACACACTTCTTTTGCTTTAACTGCTCTGTCTGGAGATCAGAGCTGTGCCTTTCTCACAAACATCACACAAAATGATAAAACCGCACACACATTCACTAATATATAGATAAAGATCTACAGAAACACGGATCAAATACAGTCGCATATATAAAAAGTGTCAAATCAATCCCTGTGTGATTCGAAAACAGCAAAACTACAGGCCTCGCTGTTCCAATTACAGCTGCACCCCAACACCCCCTCCTCTGTGTTTGAACCTTCGCCTTTCGCACAAAGAGATAATTGAGCATGGCGTCCCACTAGGGGGCACTCATTGATCCTACGTGCCAGATCCTCACATGACATCATGGATTCATGGAGGAGGGAGGCAGTTGGGGTGCAGAGCGAGAAACAAGAAGGGTGGCGGGTTGGGAGGGTGGGCTGGGGGGATGGCAAAAGTATTAGTGGAGATTACATCACCCACTCCAGCACCTCGCAGCATAGCAACCACAGAGGTGAAAGCACCCTGGGGAGGAGAAGACGGAGCAGGAGGAAGAACAATAAACTGCTACCACGGATGCCTGCAGGTAGTGGAGGGATGTTTGTTTTAGGTATGCACAGAGTCTAAATGTGCACCTGTGCATTGATTACGCTGGAAACTCTTTCTATTGAATACATTTCATATTTGTCTGCACCACTAAGTGCTGTTCAACTGTTTTGGTGAATGAAGGCACGCGCGTGGGTGAGCTGCAGGTTTGAATTTGCAGCACTCTCTGTATGCCTACACTGTTCAAAACAGCCTTTTTAGTCATGCAGGTCACGTATTTCCAAAATCCTGTTTCATCCAACGTATGTCACACACCTGCACCACTTTGTCAAATCATTATGTTGATTACAGACTTTAATGAATTACAGACTTCAGACATGCTTGACATGCCATTCAAGAGCAAAAGATGAACAGGAGAAACTGGCAAAGCACACAAGTGAAGAGAACAGAAAATAAGGTAAGGGTGGTAGTACAGACAGCTGAGTCTGAAAAATGAACAGGCGGTAGGGATGAATGGCTGGAAAGCAAAGAACAGGCAGACAAAGAGGACAACATTGGTATTAAGTGTTGGTTTCAGTATGGCAGTGTTATGAAGGACCACAAGGACAAGGGGAGCATTTATGAGCAATAGAGTCGGAAGAGAAAAGGATTGGAGGAATAGAGGGCGAAGAGGATGAAGAAAGAAGCAACAGCAGGATTCTTGAAAAGTGATGATTAAGGTGCAGTAAGAGTAAAAGATCTACTGACCTTTCCAAAGAGGTAAATTAGGCTGAACACAACATCCCTGTCACTTGCTAAATTATTACTGAGCAGAGCCGTTAAAAGTGGATATGCATCTGCTTGATATGTTAAAGACCTTTTTCCTTAACTCCGCAGCTGCAAGTTTGCATCTGCTTTAAGAGCTTTTAACAGTAGCAAAGGATGCAAAATACAGTTGTAACCAATCCGAAGAAATTAGCTTATAGCCCAAAAACTATGAATACCTAGATATTAAACTATATGTTTTAATATTCATTCTATATTTCCAGTGCATAAAAATGAACAAATATTAAATGGGGGCTGATTGCAGAGTGGGCTGAGTTTGGACTTGTTTATATATGTTAATAAGGGATGAAAAAAACTATAATTTAGCTATTTCATTATTATTTATCAGATTTTTTATGCAGGATAACTTAACAGAGAAGCAACAAGAAGATTCAGCAGCAACAGAATTAAAGAAAAATCCTTTATTTTATCTTTTTAAGCTTTCAAATTATATCTGCCATGGACAACATAGAGTACTGAAGAATATGAAAATGTTGTGACCTTGTTGGAAGATTTTAATCACCATATATTGAGATTTACATTCTACTAAAATTCCAGTAGCCTACCAAAGCAGTTAGCAGTTAATACATCGTTAAATAAATGCTGCAATGATGCTGTCTCCATTACAAATGTCACCAAAATAAGTTTTGGACAATTTATTGCTAAAATATAAACCTGTGTTTTATTGAGCACTTATGTTCCAATTCTCATCTCTCATGCACACATGGTATAATGTGTCTGCTCATTAATAATTTACGCCTCTGTAAACTAATATTCTGCCCTAAATAAATTACACTAAACTACACTGCTAATAAATCAGCTTTATTGCTCAGAAATGTGTGCACAGACATGGAATTTGACTTCACTGTGAACAAATGTGGTATATATAATCAATATAAAAAAATGAATAAAAGCAACAGTATGTACATGTGTGTTTATGTCATTTATGTATATATTAAAAAAAGATGATGCAAACAGGCTTTTTTGTTTCACAGTGGAGTAGCTGACTGTAAGGCTGCTTAGAAACAAGCTGTAAAGTGTAATTCTGTTCATCAGAGAGAGCCTGAGGGAAGACAGCTTCTGTTTTGGGTGGTTTTGGTAATTAGCGCCAACCTGAAGATAAAATTCAGCACAGCTTGTTTGCAGGATGTGTGGGGTCTGTAAATATGTTAGTTACCCTTTTCATGACACTAGAACAGAGGTCACAGATTAGTGGACTGCGGTCTGGATACGGACCCAACTGGATTTAAAACATTTATAGATTACTGCATGTTGTCCGACAACAATGTCCAACTTCACATGTGCCGCTTCTCCTATTAATATGGTAAAGCCGTCCGGACCGCCGCGACCAGGCTACACTTGATACAAATGAGCCAATGAGCTGCTGTCTGTCTGTGTTGCTGCTGCTGCTTCTTTTAGAAACAGCAGACAAACCTGTGGCAAGCGGTGCGATGGGAAAGAAAGAGAAGACGATGAGAAAAAGAGAGCAGAGAAAGTGTGAACTGCTGGAAGAACTGCAGTCAACTGGTGACAGAAAAGTGAAATGGTGCTCAAAGATGACCCTGCACATTTAAAGTATGTTTGGCTCAACCTGCTGCTGTGAAACAGGATTCTCCACCATGAACAGAATCAAAAATAAATATGGATCCAGGCTCAAAATGAGCTCCTTGATATGTGCTTTGTCACCATTCAAACCCAGGTTTAAAGCCTTGCAGGGCAGCATAAAGCCCAATGCTCTCATTAAGACAGAAAATAGAAAAAAATATATAAATAAATATAAAACATATGTGAATCAGGAAATTGTCTATATATCAAAGTGAATGATTGTTGTTCTCTACTGGAAAAAACAATTTAGATTTTAAAATGGAAAAATGTTCTATTTGGTTTTCATATTTTTTTGTTTAAAAAGTCAATGTATAACATGGATGCATAAAAACCTGCTTTTTACGTCTGTGATAAATGCTGTTTAAAGTAACAGATTATAATTAAAAATGTCTCCGGACCTTTATTGGTTGATGATTTTCTTTATTTGTACTCCACTGATTTTTAATTGGTTACCGCTGCATTAGACCTTTACCGATTCTG